TAAAAACGTGTCACAAATCTAGGATTTTGATTGGTGCTCTCTGTAAGAGAGAGCCAATCAGCTAATAGCTCAATGTTATCGAGATAGGTAAATCCCGAGCTAATTCCGAATGATAATTTGACGATTTTTTTATTGACAAGGCCTTTGGGCGTTAATGTAGCCATCGTAGAGCAGTGGAGTATAACGACTGAATTATTCGGGTTACTAAAAATTATGCCAAATGACAACGAATAGACACAATTTCTTAGTTTATCATTGGTTTAAATCTTTTACTATTATAATTATCAAAAATCGTTTAGGAGGTAAACAAGCTGATTATTGCTGAAAGACCTATAAGTATTTTATGAAACAGCATATGTAACTATATGAAATTATTTTAGTTGAACACAACCCTCAAATATCTCTGAAATAAATTAAGACATTGTTTCAAACTACCAAAGTAAAGAAGAATTGATGTCTAATTTAAAATCAGTGTGGTATGTATGGTCCCAATGAAAAAGATTTTTATATGATTTGATTCTAATGGCCCTGCAATATGATGAAAATGTCTTTTAACTTAGTACATTAAAGTTTTAAAATGGCTTGCTTTCTCTGAAACTTTCATTTATTCAAAGAAAATAATATAACTATTATGCTTATCAATTAAAAACTAATGTGAAAGCATTGAATATTTCCTGTCACATAATAAATTCATAAAAATCTATGGCATGTATTTAAGGTTAGCACTAAACCGTATCAGATCCCTCTTTTTAAAATGTGATTGCCTTTTCATACCTTAGGCTTACAGTAACGGCCAGAAAATTCTGATCAACCCATTTTAAAAAATTTTTCTATTTAAATTTTATGCATTTCAAGCCAACTGAGTAAAAAATTTTTTATTTCAATCTGCTCAGAATTTTAAACAACAAGAAATGATTGTAACAGGATGCTGTTACGAAGTCTCCCAAACGAAGCTCCCATAATTCGTAATTCCCAGGATCGCCTGACATTGGGCAACGTCCAGTGAAAATTGGTTTGGTCCAGTAAAGTTATATGCATTAGTGATGCCTGGGGACTAACCTTGTATATCATTCAAATCATCTTGGCATGACAAACCAGAATATATACGGTTTAGGAGTGGGGATCTCAACCATTTACAAGATACTAGAATATTGGGGGTGGGGAGGAACCCCTGGGGACTGGCCTATACGTCATTCAAATGTTCATTACATGACGAACAGGAATAAATATGGTTTAGGGGTGGCGATCTCAACCATTTACAAGATATTAGAACATTGACTGTATACGTCATTCAAATGTTCGAGACATGACAAATAGGAATATATATGGTTTAGGGGTGGGGATCTCAACCATTTACAAGATATTAGAACTTTCTCAAATGGCAGGGGGTCGGGATGACCCCTGGGGACTAACCCTGTCTATCATTCAAACCATCTTCGCATGACAAACCAGAATATATATGGTTAAGGGGTGGGGATCTTGACCACTTAGAAGATATTAGAACTTTCTTAAATGGCAGGGGGTGGGGGTGACCCCTGGAGACTAACCCTGTATTTCATTTGATGTGCTTTATCATGACAAACCAGAATATATATGGTTTAGGGGTGGGGATCTCGACCATTTACAAGATATTAGAACTTTCTCAAATGGCAAGGGGTGGGGGTGACTGCTGGGGACTAACCCTGTATTTCATTTGATGTGCTTTATCATGACAAACCAGAATATATATGGTTTAGGGGTGGGGATCTCAACCATTTACAAGATATTAGAACTTTCTCAAATGGCAGGGGGTCGGGATGACCCCTGGGGACTTACCCTGTATATCATTCAAACCATCTCAGCATGACAAACCAGAATATATATGGTTTAGGGGTGGGGATCTTGACCACTTAGAAGATATTAGAACTTTCTTAAATGGCAGGGGGTGGGGGTGACCCCTGGGGACTTACCCTGTATAACATTTGATGTGCTTTATCATGACAAACCAGAATATATATGGTTTAGGGGTGGGGATCTCGACCATTTACAAGATATTAGAACTTTCTCAAATGACAGGGGGTGGGGATGACCCCTGGGGACTAACCCTGTATATCATTCAAACCATCTTAGCATGACAAACCAGAATATATATGGTTTAGGGGTGGGGATCTTGACAACTTAGAAGATATTAGAACTTTCTTAAATGGCAGGGGGTGGGGGTGACCCCTGGGGACTAACCCTGTATTACATTTGATGTGCTTTATCATGACAAACCAGAATATATATGGTTTAGGGGTGGGGATCTCGACCATTTACAAGATATTAGAACTTTCTCAAATGACAGGGGGTGGGGATGACCCCTGAGGACTAACCCTGTATATCATTCAAACCATATTAGCATGACAAACCAGAATATATATGGTTTAGGGGTGGGGATCTTGACCACTTACAAGGTATTAGAACTTTCTTAAATGGCAGGGGGTGGGGGTGACCCCTGGGGACTAACCCTGTATTTCATTTAATGGGCTTCATCATTTAGAACATTTTCAATTAAAAAGTTTGTGTCTATCACGAACGGTTTTCAATTTATAATCATTTGAAAATTTTTAAAAATAAAATCCCATAGGGTTCTATAGTAAAACCCTCTTTTCTTTTTGCCCCTCAAAGTACCCCTTTATAAACCCCATTGCAAAAACAAAACCCTGATTGCACCACTAGACATGTTAGTCTAACATATTGTGAAACCCTAAGTTAATCCGACAAGCGGTTTTGGAGAACGGGTGCGGACAAGTTCAAATTTAAAAGCGGCGGAAGAAGAAGAAGAAGAAGAAGAAGAATAATAATAACTGAGCAAAAACAATAAGTCTTCCCAAACTTCGTTTGGGAGACTTAATAATTATTTTGCAATGCACAAGCACATCAACTAAAATTATCTCCCCTGGTTTATGTTGAAGCAAATTGAATAAAATAACCCTTACACTGCTAGATCAATGTCTACTTAAGGTTTTTTCCGTTCAATTAAAGTACTAGCACTAGAAAAAGCATTTCACACAAAGTTTGAATGTAGAGGTAAGATTTCATACACTTTTTTAGTTTGAATTTTTCTTCAAATCTAAGCAATTATGAGACAAAGTACTCTTTTTAAGAGCAAATAGACTTATTCATAATAAATTCAAAGCATGCAAAAAATAATCACTGGTATCAAAGCTGTTACAAAGTTATTTTGAATTCTTTTTCACATGAAGGCTTTTAAAAACAATTTGAAACTGCTTATGACAAACACATTCCTAATTTAAAGAGTATTTAAAGAGTAATCTCCCTTATTCTAGGTCTACCTCCTTAAATTGCTGATACTATATAATTTAAGTCATGATAATATATACAGCTACCACTTTTTTATTTATATTTCTTCCATCTCATTTATTCAGATCAATTTCAAATTATGACTAAGTAAGAATATACCGTAGAAAGGCTTGTATAGTCCGCGGTTTTATTCTCCAAAATTGGACCTTCCAGACGGGGTGCGGACTATAGAGTACAATAAGCAAGAAATAAGAGAAAAATTTCAATTTCGCGGGCGAGGTGGTTTGTTTACGTTCCGCCATCTTTGTTATTTATATTGTAGAGGGCGCTCTTATCATTTTTCAAACTAATAATTTTAACTCATCCATATTAATAAGTTATTTCTATTCAATATCAAATTAATACTGATAAATATAAAAAACTAAACCTTTCATTACAAATTTCTCGTTTCTAAAATTCTTTTCAATGCATTGGTTGAAATAAACTGGTATCTGCTTGATTGAAACGATACAAACATAGTCAAAAAGACAACCGTAAACCAGCTTAGAATTTGTAAACTACAAAACGTAATCGGTTATTGTTCGTTCCGTTTTGGTGTTTCATACTGACTAATATGGTTTGTATTAGCTTAAGACCCTTCAAACATTAATGTGATAGATATATTAAAGACTGTTTTACAAAAGGATGGAACTGTTTTACTTTCAAAGTCGTATTATAGTGATATCTGTTATGTACGGATTTCGACTCTCACCGTTTAATTTCTTCTTTTACACGTGCTTTTTAAACTTCCTGTTTAAACATACACAAGTTTCGAAATTGTTTTTTAAGTGAATTAAACTTATTTTAACAATCATGAAGCGTTCTAGAATCATTTACAAGCAGTTTCAGCTTCTGTTTGATGATGGAAAACAGGTTTTTCCAAGAAAATACCGCAAACGACCGCACAGGATTTGAAATTACCGGAGTTTCATTAGACCTTTTCTAACAGTTACAAAAAGTTTTTTTACCTAAAATTTCGTGGGGAGAAGGGGGTGCGGACTATGTACCAGTGCGAACTATACAAGCCTTTCTACGGTACTAATTGATTTTTTAGAAGATAAATTAGTGCTTAAATTCAAGGATGAATAAAATCACATATAATTTATCACACAACAAATAACCGTATTCCTACAGTAAAAAATGCTTCTTTCTAAAAATTCCAACATTATGGAACTTTGATAAAACTGGCAATGATGAGATAAAAATGAGTATATAGAATCGTCAAAAAATACAACTGTTTGAAAAAACATACATAAGTAACTAAAACATAAATATACTACAAAATATTTACAATACACCTGGAATGAACCTAACTGTATAGTACATGCTACAACAATGTATCTTGATGGTTTCCTGCAGAATATAAATGTCACAGTATCAATAACATTGATGGTGCCAATTTAACTATACCAGAAGCGCATTTCAACAAATAATGTCTCTTAGGCGATGCTTGAGACCAAATTTTTTGAAAGTCCAAAATTTAATTCAAACGCTGAAGAGCTGATAAAACTAAAAAGGACCAGGTATCACCTTTCAGACCCCACCATCACCCCTCTTCTTTTGATCTAATGCTGAACCCATTTATGCCAAAAGGGAGATTTTGTCCACATTGATTTCATACCAGCATTTAAATAGTGTAAATTCAGAAATTATTGCGATGTTTTTATTAATGCGAAAAATACGACAGGGTTATAATCGCAATAATTTAAACTCGCATTTTGAAATTTTTTATATGAACTAAACAGGATTTTTCTCAATATCGCAAAAAATTAAAATCACATTTTAGTCTAATGAATTTACAGTATATTTCACAATTTTCTCTCCTTCATTTGGAAAAAAATGGGACTGTCTGTGCCTTCATTTACTTCTCTATCATTCTATGAAAACCAAAGGGAGAAATGAACCTTAAACTAATGCAATACCTTTGAAGTCTTCAGAGATATTTGTCTTCACTTAAAATCATTCTTTGCTAATTATTCAGCATTTAATGTGATGTAAATATTGACAAAGAACTTCTCAAAAGTTGACAAATCAATAACATACCAAACAGCTGGTCTGTAAATTATAAATAACTGTCAAAGTCATTATTATTTGATGTGAATTTATCATAGAAAACTAACGACATGAAAATCCCAATAAGTCTCAGTCAGTTCAAGATTAAATCTAGTTAAGTCTATAGACGGAATAGATATCTGTCGGACCAATGCATGATATACACATTTGCAGACAAAAGCGAGAAAGTAGACACTCGTTCGATAATAAAATTCTATTCCAATTTTGCTGATAAAAGGAAATGTAACAATCTGATATACTGAGAGGCAATATTTTATGTTTCATTGTAAAGGCTACCCTTAAAAGGACTGTAAAATATCTACAACACAACACAGACTGAAGTCGACTAGTCTGTCAGTCTGTTTAGTGGGATTTTAAAAATTATGTTACATATTCCAATCTGTCAGGTTTTTTTTCTAAAATAAAAAATCTAATACTAATGACTAAGACTGCATACTTTAAAATGTCTTGCCTTCTTCATTGATTTCTATAACTGAATAATAAATGGATAGTGTAAAAAAGCCTAAGTTATCGTCGAGTAATATGTTAAAGCATAAGAACCCCACAACATGCATACATGGTCTATTACTCCTAGTACCAAACATGTTGACCTATGCTCAAAATTTTAACCATTAGATAGAATGAGGTTTGACTTAGTGTTGATCAATGGACCATGAAAATGAGGTCAAGGACATGTACCCTGTAAGGGGGAAATGTACAGATTACAATGATTTGAAAGACCATAAAACTTTTCATTCATATCTTTTACAATATCTGTCCCATAATAAAGAAGGACACTGTTTTTATTTATATCTTTTACAATATCACAATATTCACCTAATAAAGAAGGACATATACATGACATAGACCAGAAAATATAACGCCAACCTATTACCAAAGGTGGGGCATAAAAATTACCTATCAAAATTACAGCAAGCTTTGGTTGCTAGGGTCTTTCATAAAATGGGGAATATCTAAACAGATATTCATAAAATTCCAGTCAATTTTGGTTCCGCTTGGACAAACAAATCCAGATAACGAAAAGAAAAGATAAAGACAATGAAAAGCAAGTGATGGCAGATGCTCATGATCGTGGTGAGCTAAATATCTGCTCAAATTAGTCTCATGGTCCAGGTGAGCTATTTATCTATGCAATTTATTAACAAAGATCTCTTTGCCAATATATAGATCTGCTCTCATCCCAACAGTTAAAATTTGCTTTTTTTCTCTGTCTGAACCCATCAAGTCACATTGATGAAGTAGTAACCAATACATCGTACAAGATGACGAACATTACATAAAATATCAAATGTGATCACAGTTAGAGAATTGACTACCTTACTGTTATAAAAATATATATTGCTGACTCAAACATTCATTAAAATTTCATTCATAACAAAAGTTTAACCAATATCCATCAAACCTCTGAAAGATGCCATAAATCAAGTGTATAACTGCCTTCCTATCGTGATTGATTAAATCAATATTAAAAGTTTAATTACTATTGTAAAAAGCTGACAACAACATTGTTTTTATTATTGACTCTACACTTTTACTGCCTGTCAATGTTACGTCTTCATTTGATTTATTAATGATTTTGTCGTAAAAACTAGTTAAGATTGAATATATATACTATAAATTATTTTCAATATCAACTCATTTTATCAGCTCAATTTATTTTCTGGAAAAACCATCTGACTGATTAGGACTGCACTTAGCCAAATATACTTTAAAGTTTCATGAATGCCTTTTCAAGAGGGCTCAAAATAATAACTTTTGAACATAGATTCATCATTATTCATAGGAAACAAATATTCATGAATTTTGTGGGTATAGGCGAACCACAATTTGAGTCTTATTTCATGTATTTTGTTTAGGTTCGTATGTATGTATATTTTGTCAAAACCACATAATTACAAAGTATCCATGAAAATAAATGAATTCATAGTATTAAAATTTAAGAAATAGAGTGTTATATGTAACAAATAAAGTTTTACATAATCAAAACTATAATTGTGACATAAATATCGCTAATTTGCTACAACCATTTACAACCTCTCTCAGATATCTTTAAAAGACCTTTGAATATAGGCCGTTAGTTTTTCTCAATTGAATTGTTTCATATTTTTCATGTCAGGGCCTTTTATAGCCGACTATACGGTATGGGTTTTTCTCATTGATGAAGGCTGTACGGTTGCCTATCATTGCTAACATCCACTTCATTTGAACTTTGGTGGATAGTTGTCTCATTGGCAATCATACCACATCTCCTTATTTCTATTTTGAACAAAGCTATTTTGAACACTACTATAATTGTATTTATATCAGACATACACTTCAGTCTAGGTGGATTCAGCTTTTTCAACCTGCCCACCATGGTTGAACATAAATTTCATTAATAAAGGGTTGACACAGGGGACATCTCAAGGTTTTGCCTTGCCAGATGGAAGCAGCAAAATCCACCTGAGCAGAAATGTACTCCAATTAAAGACAAGGTTTGATGGATATCAATAACGTAAAATAATACACATACAGGTCATACAGCTACTTCAAATGTATCATAAACACTTTTCTTTTTCTCAGCTTTTTCATTTGGCCGTTTGTGGCTAGGATGTGATTGTCTTGAATTATTTGAATTTGTAGTCCGACTCGGTAAAGGCTGTCTTGATTCACTGGGTGATAATGTCCGACTTCTCGGCATAGCATGATTTTTATTTATACCATTATTAGAATTCTGTCCACCAATTTCACTCATTTCTAATGCCTTTACAAATGACAACGGACGTCTAGATCCACCTATTTCATCATCAAACAGCCCTTGAGTATGGGGAGGAAGTGTAGTTGCACTGCGAGACTGTGCAGCATATCTATTGGTTGGGAGGCTGTCATGTGACCTCCCACGATAATCACCTGAGTTGTACATCTGTTTTGAATTATTATAGCCATCACTTGGTCTATAGTTATCCTGACCATAAGAATCTAACATTTCCTCACTTTTCGACGTGTAGCCATTAGTCTTTTGTGAGAAACGCGGTGCTGACCTAGATGGTGATTGGGGAGGCTTATGAGTATAATTGAATTTAGGTCGATACGGAACAGATGATGCACTGTTTTGAGAATTTGGGTAATATGTATTTCCAGAATGACCTGGTTGATGAGAATCAGTTTTATAACGATTTTCACTTTCTCTTTTAGGTCTAGGTTCACTTTGAGACCTTGAATTTTGTTCACGAACCTTATCATAATTAGTATTATTGCTATTCACAGCTCTGCTTGGAACACTTGTATTACGCATAGCATGTGACACACGGTCCAAGCCAGGACTATTCAACAGAGAACGTGGTGGTGTCAAAACAGAATCCTCCGGTGTGGCTACAGGTGCCGCCGCCAAAGCTGCTGCCCTCTCTGCTCTTCTCCCTCGTTGTGGGGACTTTGAGATGCTGTTACCATGGTGATACTGTCTTGGAGGTGAAGCTCGGTTATTGGTCTGACTATGGTATGTTCCCATGGTTGAATTCATCGATGGCTGCTGTGAATCATCAAAAAGATTTGTTTTTGAGTCTGACCTTTTCTGTAAAGGGGGCGTTGTCTCACTGTCTTGACTGTCATCGTCCAGAAGACATGAAGATTGAGGGGTGGCCTATCAACAGACGGTAGAGAGATGTTACAAATGTTAAAAATACAAATCTTGATTGGTTGAAGAGGTAAGTAGTGCATGCGGTGTCAAGGTCACTGAAGATGGTAACCTATGACCTTACACCACAGAGGTCACTCCCTGAAAGGCAAAGAAAACATAAAGGTTGGTTAGTGCAAGCTAAGTGGAAAGCTAATACTGTGGTCAAGTGTTAAACGTGTTTAATTGCTGAGAAGCATAATAATAGTTGTGTTGTCAATGACAAGCGACTTGCAATTTGTCTTCAATTTTTCCGAAATTGTCTACTGCACTTAGATATAATGAAAATAGCCAAAGGCTATGTAACATATATTGATGAAAGTCTCAGAATTGATTGAACCAATACATTTGTTATTCTTGAACCTATTTTATTCGTACATAACAAGTACTTTGTTTGTAGCTGGAATTTTTGCTTAGTGATTTTGTCAATGAAATTGCTATATTATAAAATGTCTTTAAAAAGAAAAAAGAAGCATTTTTGAGCAAAGAAGTGATGTAATAACATGCCCGCTGATGATTAAATATGGAAGTAACACACATATGTTATGATCACAGTTTTAGCATAATGGGAATACACCATCCAACACCAAAAATATACAAAAGGGCCAAAATAAAAAAAATATTTGTGTTTAGGGTTCCCTACCGACAATATTTTTTATACCTGAAATGTTTAGCCTACATTTTTATCGGAACTTTTGGTAACAAATCATTCTAAAATTACAGGTCTCAACACATGCAACATATACTCAAGATAAATTATAGCAAAATTTAAAAAAAAATCCTATCTCCACATCCTACTTTTCTTGAGGAAACCCTAAACTCACATTTGTCTAGCCTAATTTATCTACTATATCTACTATATATGAATTAAACAGACTAATACTAGCACATCTGGACCATTACCAGTAAAGAGGGGTATATATTAGGTAGGGGCCTTAACCATTAACATTAAGAAGATCATGCTTCCAAGGCTAGTACATTCCTAGCTTTGAATTACCCTTTTTATACAGCAGTATACTAGAAATTTGTAACATTTTGTGTAGAAATTGATTTTTGATATATGTAATTAAATCGTTATTCTTATTTACTATTTCCTCTTGTCATATTGTAGGTTTTGATACAAGGAATAATTTCAAACAGGTCTCAGATTACTTGGTTTGGAGCCTTAAATTTAGAGGGGTTCGAGTGTAATACTCTTTACACTTTATCAGAATTTCTAGGCAATTTCATTGAATGCATTAACAGATAATGTTTTGACATTAATCTTCATCATTTGGATTCAAATACAATTCTCTCAGAATTCATATATATACTTTAATATTTCAAATCAATAAATATCTCTCAGTTATTCCTATAGGCTATTCAGTATATATATATAATATTAAAACCAATATACAAAGTATATATTAAAATTAAAAGTTCTATTTTGGAACCAAGGGAAAAATTAACAATGCCAGTTTCTTATTTAAAAACGCTGTAAATTTCAAAACATATTTGTTTTACAAATTTGAAGCAAATTTATACAGAATTCATACATTTTCAAGATGAGAAACTGTCTGAAACAGATTGAAAGTAAAGTTTTCACATAATTTTTGTTTTTTTTTCATTGATCAAGAAACTTGTCCCTAAATGAGACTATAAGAATAATTTCCTATACATCATTTTGTACATAAACTGCTCAGATAAACACTTCTGTCTTTTTGAAGCTAGCCTCATTATAGATGCATGGATAAAAAGGAAATTTTCTGTTCTTTTTACAAAATTTACATCATGTACATAAAACAATAAAAGTAATTGAGAGAACTATACTTGACATGAGAAAACAAAGAGACAAGAATGAGAGAGCTATACTCGACATATGTCAACAATGGTGACAAAAATGTCTAATCCACAAATATAACTTTAAATTGTCTTTATCAATTACATCTAATGTTTTCAACTCTTAAATTCAATTATTTCATTCCTTACATTTTCGAAAAAATCAATGGAAATTTAAAGTATGTCTTGTCATGTGTCAAATCTCTCACTTAGGAGTGGACAGAACGGAGACAGTTCCAAAGCAAATACAAGTCAATTATGTTTCCTTCACATCACCTAAACACCATGAGGGACAGTTTAACAATATATTTAATCATAGCGATCGGCATTAATTAACAGTACAGAGAGACGTAACTGAAAGACGGCGACAATTAATCAATAAGGCAAGGAAAGTAAAGACGGTACCATAAAAGGCTTCTTAATTGTAACAAGAATATTTAACCACAAGTTCAAGTGCCAATGTGACACAAAAAATAAAGAGTTATACTTATTTTACAACGGAAAAACAGTTTTATGAATGAGCCAGTTTTTCTACCAAAGAAGAAGTTTAGTTCAACTGTTTAATTCCCTTAAACTCTTTTTCATTTCTTATTATATACATGAGTATTTGTTGTAAAATTTAAAACTTCAAACAAATGAGAGAAAAAAGAAGCCAATTGCTTTGATTTCGTCTTTTCCAAACTGCAGTGTTCAGGGTAAATTTTAACCAAAGTTTAAATATTCAAAATATCTAATCTGGGGATAGGTAAGTTTATGTAGAGATTCAATATAAAGTTAGAGGAAACAATTTTGAGCTTAATTTACTGATCTTTTAGAACATTACTTCTTTGTTTTTTTCAGGATAGGATAAATAAATTACATTGTATAGAAACACAATTTTCCAATGGGCAAACAAAATACTGCCTTGGAAAATGTCATCATATAATATAACATGCATTGTAGAAAAACCATTAACGAGGAATGGCATCAATTTTTCATTCATTGTTATCAAATGTCTCAAGTCTAATCTGATGATTTTTGTTGTGTAATATTGGAAACGGTAAGATTTCGAAGAGAAACATTAATAGTGCTGAATAAGCTAAATTTCATCTTAAGAGAACAATAATATCACCATTGTCTTTGTCATTTCAACAAACAATTTTGCAGCTACGATTTACATTCTGGCTATTACAAGCTAAGGACTGTTCCAGGAAGATAAGATTAGTTACAGGCAATGTTAGCACAATGAAAGTGGAATAGAAACAACAATATACAGCAGAAAATTCTAAACTGCTTCAAGTAAATAAAATCTTGTCTACCCATCTTCCTGGAATAGCAATTTAGTTTAGAAGCAAAAGAGTGCAAGATTGAGGAGGTTCAGGAGTTTGCACAAAAGAAGAAGCATAACAAAAAACAGCTGATTTTATCTTAAGTGTGATGAGCATTACAAAATAGGTCAAATGTCTGAGAAGCAAACTCAATAAAAAAAACAAACATTTTCATTCGCAACTATTATGTAAGCTGAGAAAATCCAAAATCAAATTCATTGTGTATTATTTAATATTTGAGAATTTTAAAATAGGTCAATTGTCTGAAAAGCTAACTTAGCAAAGTAAAACATACATTTTAAAACTACAAGAGTGCACACGCTGAAATGTCTCGCCTTCTTTACTAATCATTGATATTATGTTGATAGTCCTAAATATAAAGCTTTATTACAACTGTCACATAAACTTAACATTAACCAAGTAAACTAAACATTGACCAATGAACCATGAAAATGAGGTCAAGGTCAGATGAACAATGCTAGGCAGGCATGTACAGCTAACAATTCTTCCATACAACAAATATAGTTGACCTATTGCTTATAGTTTAAGAAAAACAGACCAAAACACAAAAACTTAACACTGAGCAATGAACCTTGAAAATGAGGACAAGGTCAAATAAAACCTGCGTGACTGACAAATAGATCATAAAATATTTCCATACACCAAATATAGTTGAACTATTGCATATAGTATTAGAAAAAAAGACCAAAACTCAAAAACTTAACTTTGACCACTGAACCATGAAAATGAGGTCAAGGTCAGATGACACCTGCCCGCTAGACATGTACACCTTACAATCATTCCATACACCAAATATAGTAGACCTATTGCATACAGTATAAGAAAAACAGACCAAAACACAAAAACTTAACTATAACCACTGAACCATGAAAATGAGGTCAAGGTCAGATGACACCTGCCAGTTGGACATGTACACCTTACAGTCCTTCCATACACCGAATATACTAGACCTATTGCTTATAGTATCTGAGATATGGACTTGACCACCAAAACTTAACCTTGTTCACTGATCCATGAAATGAGGTTGAGGTCAAGTGAAAACTGTCTGACGGGCATGAGGACCTTGCAAGGTACGCACATACCAAATATAGTTATCCTATTACTTATAATAAGAGAGAATTTAACATTACAAAAAATCTGAACTTTTTTTTCAAGTAGTCACTGAACCATGAAAATGAGGTCAAGGACATTGGACATGTGACTGACGGAAACTTCGTAACATGAGGCATCCATATACAAAGTATGAAGCATCCAGACCTTCCACCTTCTAAAATATAAAGCTTTTAAGAAGTTAGCTAACGCCGCCGCCACCGCCGGATCACTATCCCTATGTCGAGCTTTCTGCGACAAAAGTCGCAGGCTCGACAATAAATTGAGCAGAGAAAATCTCATAACAAGCTTACTGTTTATTATTTAATATAAGAGAATTTTAAACTAGGTCAAATGTCTGAAAAGCACAATCAGCAAAGTAATAAAACCTACATTTTAAATCTATCATGTAAGCTGAAAAAATTACATAACAAACAGAGAGAAAAAATATTACTGTATTTTATTTAATATTATGTAATAATTTTCTCTTAAATTACAAATTAAAAGTCAAATTATATTCAATAGCATTGCATGTATTTAAGCAAACAATTTTATAAATGTTTGACCGAAGTTGAGTATGAATTCAATTTAATTTGACAGTGAGGAATGATTATGGCCATAAAATTTTGTTATTATTAAGTGCAGCATGCGCTATCACTGTTAAAAGCAGAATATGAATTCCACAACCAAATATCTTGCTAATGCAGAAGAAAAGCTGAATTATAAGTCGGT